GCAGTAGTTAGTCTTCAGCAAATCCAAGAATTTCACCTCTGACAGCTGAATACTGACGCCCCCGACTATCCCTATTAATCATTACGGCGGTCCTAGAAACCAACAAAATAGAACCACACGTCCTATTCTATTATTCCATGCTAATGTATTCGAGCAAAGGCCTGCTTTGAACACTCTAATTTTTTCACAGTAAAAGTCCTGGTTCCCCCCACAGCCAGTGAAGGCCATGAGGTTCCCCAGAAGGAAAGGTCCAGCCGGACCAGTACTCGCGGTGAGGCGGACCGGCCAGCCAGACCCAAGGTTCAACTACGAGCTTTTTAACTGCAACAACTTTAATATACGCTATTGGAGCTGGAATTACCGCGGCTGCTGGCACCAGACTTGCCCTCCAATTGTTCCTCGTTAAGGGATTTAAATTGTTCTCATTCCAATTACGAGACCCAAAAGAGCCCCGTATCAGTATTTATTGTCACTACCTCCCCGTATCGGGATTGGGTAATTTGCGCGCCTGCTGCCTTCCTTGGATGTGGTAGCCGTTTCTCAGGCTCCCTCTCCGGAATCGAACCCTAATTCCCCGTTACCCGTTGCCACCATGGTAGGCCACTATCCTACCATCGAAAGTTGATAGGGCAGAAATTTGAATGAACCATCGCCGGCGCAAGGCCATGCGATTCGTTAAGTTATTATGATTCACCAAGGAGCCCCGAAGGGCGTTGGTTTTTTATCTAATAAATACACCCCTTCCTGAAGTCGGGGTTTTTAGCATGTATTAGCTCTAGAATTACCACAGGTATCCATGTAGTAAGGTACTATCAAATAAACGATAACTGATTTAATGAGCCATTCGCAGTTTCACAGTATAAAGTGCTTATACTTAGACATGCATGGCTTAATCTTTGAGACAAGCATATGACTACTGGCAGAATCAACCAGATAACTTCACTAGCGGGCGGTCCCCCGGGCCGGCCGGCGGCTGCCGGCGCGACTCGGGAGGGCCCACCACCCCCGAAGGAGCAGAGTTTAGTTAAACGGAAGGGGCGCACGGGGCGCCCGACCGGCGCAACCGCCCCCGGCGTACCGGGGGGGCGCGAGCGGCCATCAAATTGCCCCCTCTAGGCTCCTCAGCGCCGGTCCGCACGCAGAGATTCCGCCCACCGCCCGGACGGGCAGGGACGGGCTGCGGCATACGGCCCTCGGAAGGGGGGCCCGACCCCCGCGCGACCGCCGGCGAACGGCGTATGACGCAGGGCGGCTTCCCCCGGGTTACTACCAAAGGACGGGTCTGCTGGCCAGCGGCCAAGAGCCCACAGACTTCGGCATTGCCGGGGATCCAGGGATCCCAGGGCTTCAGAGGCCACGGGCGCATCCCCCGAAGGGAGCGCGACCGTAGCGTGAATCCCACCCCCGGTGTTGAGGAAAAGACCCAACACCTGGCGAGGCTGACGGCAGAGTATGGAAGATGTTGTGAGAAGAGGCGGGCGGAACCACCTCTTCTTACACATACTCTCCGACCCCAGTTGGGCGGGGAAATGGCCAGCAAGCCTTAAAGTGTACAAAAAGTTTTCCTGGGGACATCCTTTACTATGTAAGTGGTCCGTGCACGGCATTTTTCCCATACAAAGTGGGCCACCCTGTTAGTCCCGTAACGCAATTTAAGGGACTTGGTCGTTTTTCGGCCAATTTCACGTGACCCTCCACCAAATCCGCCCACCACGTCCGCATCATCGCCGTTCTCACCCTACTGAGAAATTGACCAGAAGGCCGCAAACAGTCACTTTGCATGCTGAAAAGCAGATGGGCGGGGAGGCCACGGGGGACCTAGGAGAGGGGTGGGCAGCGCAGGCCCACCGCCAACTGGTCAAATTTGGGTATGTCCAAAAATCATGGTCCACCAACTGGTCAAATTTGGGTATGTCCATAATTCTTAGGTCTCTCGAAAACGCCCCCCGGGCCCCTCCCGGGCCCCTCCCGCCCCGGTGCTGCCGTCCCCTCGCCCTCTCCCGCCTGTTTAGGCCATCTACCCCGCTGCTGGGGGGTCGGGGCCGCAATCGGGGTCCATCATGGTGGATATATATCTTTGGTGGGAAGGATGGTGAGGAGGACCCGAGGGGTACCCCCCATCTTCCAAGATATATATCTGGTCCCACGGTCATCTCTCTTACTGCTCGACCCCGAGCGGCGCCAACCCCCCCGTTTGCCCCTCCCGGACCCCTAGCTACCAGTCCCGGGGCGGGTCGCCCCTCGAGGGGCCCACCGCCAACTGGTCAGATTTGGGTTGTGTCCTGAAATTTACCTATGTCGAAAACCCTCCTACCACCACCCCTCCTCCCCGCGCCCCCGTGCGCCCCTCGCCCGCGCTGCCCTCCTCCCAACCGGCAACTGGCCGGTCTCCCCAGGCCGGGGCCTCGCCGCCCGCCCGTCTGGGCTGGCTGGCCGGCACCCACCGTTCCAACGCCGCCCCGGCTAGAGCGCCGCTGCCGCACACCGAACACGCCGGCAC